GTGCGGCAGGTTCGGTCGGCTCAAGGTCATTGACCTGAAAGGCAAACAGTGCAATGTTCACTTGGTTCACTCGGCAACGCTCGGATCCTGCCGGGCGGACCGTCCAAGGCTGGCATTCGACGTGCCCATCTGTGGTGAGGGTCACCACCGTCCTCAAAAGTGAATTGGATTCTGCTTCTTTTGGGATTCTTTCAAGACGGGGCCTGTATGCAACGAATGCATGACTGATTTTGGACGCACTGCTACCAAAAATCACCGTCAATTCTTCACCAAACCGATCGACGTTTATCACCCCTTTTCTGGTGTTTTTCACAACATGTTGAAGTGCACGTTTTTGGTCACACACGTACCCTTTTCAACAATCTTTTGGGGGGACTTCTTGAGATCGCGGCTATTGGTTTCGGACCTTGAGGTATTTCTCTTACGATGGTTATCGGAGTCTGCAATTGGATTAGTATTGGGCTCATTACTTAATTCAGTTTCACACTCGTGACAGTCCTCATGACCGGCTTCTGGGTGGTCTGGCGAGGACATCGAAGAACTTGGCTGTTCTGGCTGCAAATTCACTTCGGGAGCAGGCTCACACAGATTAAGCAAGAGGTGCCCATTGGCAGCTTGCCTGAGTGGAACCTTGTGCATACCATGGCGATTGCTCGACAATGTCAAAGTCGACAAATCTAGCTGGGCTTCCATTGCTTCCAAAACACGACGGCTCAGCAGGAATGGAGCATTCCCCGGTACCACATACGTCGTGATGGTACCGGTGTCACGGCCCAGGCGGACTGTCCAGCGCAGCCCATCCGCAGTCTTGATGGCGCTTCCCTGAGAAAAGCCACGAAGCTCAACGGGCGGCAAGGTATACAAGTCATGGGCTCAGGATGACCACATGCCAACATATGCTTCTTCAGTTCTGCACGCTTCTTGCACCATGTATGCGAAGTCCGGTGAGAAGCTGGCTTGAGCTAGATTTGCTTCTTCACGTCGAGGAGCCTTGAAAGGAGCCTTCTTCGGTCCTCCAGGCTTTGGTGTAGGCTTTCTGTCATATTTGAAGGTCTGCTTTTGTACAGGTGGCTGAGATGAGGCACCTGCTTGCTGCTGCTCATTCGGAGGGATGGCAACAACAGGATAGTACGGCTGTCTTTGTTTCTTCAATTCTCGTACTCGCTTTTTGGTCTCCTTGTAGGTTTTCATACCCTTCTTCACTTGTTGTTTCGCCTTTTTCTGCAGCTCATACACTTCTTCGATTTCAGCGTCAGTGTCGCCAGGATCCTGGTGATCAGCCGCCGCATAAACACCATCAGAAGCTCCAGAACTGTCAGAACCGAGCCCTTCCGGACTCGTGGATTCATCAACTGCATGCACATACTGAGGCTCGGGTGGAGTGTCCTGCACAGCAAAGGTCTCTCTGCGTGGTGGAGGACGGTGAGGCCTTCTTTCCAGCTTTCGTTCATCAATCACTGTTTCGTAATCAGAAGCACGAAGAATCCTCTCAACGTCATCATAGCGAGAGGAGCCATTGGTGGCCCTGATCACGGATGCACGCTGTTCTCGGGACAATCCATACTTCTTCATGAAGAGGTGGCCCAAGATGCTCTGGGGAAAGATAGGTCTTGGTTTCAAATGACCTTGCTCCAACACACCAAGCAAGCGTCTGTTGCATCTTCCTGTGTGATTTGTCCTTGTCAGCCTTAAACGATCCACGACCGTCACTGCCCTGCTTGCGTTTCAAGTGACCAGCATCTCGACCGATCGAGGAAGGTGGCTTTGAACGAATTGGCTCTGTTGCAGCACGTTGATCATGATCCGACGATGAGGCGGCAGCCTCTTGAGCAGTTTCATGCTCAGATGTGTCCGGTGAACCTGAAGGGGCTGGCACCTCAGGTAGAACATCAGCATCAGGTGGTTCTGAATCACCAACGCTGCTATTGTCGTCAACACCAGCATGTGATGAAGTCTTGCGAGTTTTCTGTTTCTTCGCTCGATGCAGCTCACGCTCTTGCGCAATCAGATTCTGTAGCCTATCCAGCTGAGTGCGGAAACGGGAACTGAACGAAGTCGGACCTTCATGGGGATGTCGCTTCAAGGAAAACAGAAAATTATCAACTGCACCATGCAACTCTGTTTCAGGCAAATATTTGTAATGTTTGTCCAATGCGTGAATCACAGCTGTCCAACCTGTATCCTCTCGAAGCTTGTGTATCGGGATATGTTCTGTAGCACGCCAAGCTCCTCCAGACAACCGACCAAGCAGCTTTGCTCCAGCAAGGTGAGCATTCTTATCCTCAACTGATGCAATTGCCAGCAAGGTGCGCCGCCTGAAGTCACGGTATCCACTTGGATTCCCGTCGAAGCTCCGGTTGTAGAACAAGTCTTTTCCAGAGTCAACGGCCATGGAGGAAAAGGGTCTTTAGGGCAGGATGCCCTCACAAGAGCTTCAAAAGTCGGAGCTCGGAGGAAGCCTCGGACGAGGCCAGGACCAGCAAGGTCCTCACGAGTGGAGCAGGCTTGGAGCGACCTGCTCCGCTACCATGTAGAAATGGTAGCAACAGCGGAGCTGAAGTGAATGCAAGGAAATGCAAAGGGAACGTGTTCCTCCTGGGGGATCCCAGCACAATCGCTCGTCAGAGCGCACACCTCTTTTCTCACACCATTGCGAACGTAGCGAGTCAAATGGCGTCCAAGGGCCCTTGAGAAGGGATAGCAACGGAAGGCGGAATTCATACTCTTCATGTCTCTCTCATCGTACCTCATTCTACTTTTACAATATATATATATACACATATATATGGCTATTGAGGGAGGCCTATAGGCCTATAGGCCTATCGCTTTTGTAGTTTTAGCCTATATAATTCCTGAAATGCACGACCGCTCTTTACTAAATTAGTCGCGAGAACCTGTCGCACTTGCCAACCGAAAAGAATCGCAGTCCGAGATGAGCACGGAGCCACAGCAAACCCATTTCCGATACACGCTTGTGCAACGCAACTCGTCGTGCGAGACCCACAGAAGAGCCACGTAGCACGACATGCTAAGCACGCCGGTGAGAGACCTCTATTCTTTCCGTAGAACACCCCTCATTGCTTCCATTCTGGTTGGAAAAAGGATTGTAACCAATGACAGGCTGAGCAAAGGACCGCAGCCATCACCACCAACCTTTGCTGGCTGGCAGAAAACATCGGCTCAAGTGAACGGAAATGTTGTACAAATTCCAAAATCCTGCACCAAAGTGACCTGGTTTCCGTCGTCGCACTCCTCACCCACAACCAGGAGGCCATCCCCGCAAATGGCCTCTTCAATAGATGCATGCAGCAGAGCAACTCCCAATTGCTGTGACTGCAACCACCAAAAGTGGGTAGAAGGCCACACAAAAAAGTGGTGCCAACTTGAATGAGCTTCTTCTTGGTTTCCCACCTCACAATAGTCCGGTATCTTGCGGCCTGTAACAAAGGGGCTTTGCAGGAGGCAAAGCCATCAAGGCCATCTAATGGTGTTACTCACACGAATACCGTTGATGGTCTTCGGAGGTCTTGGTGCTTGCTTGCAACAGGGCCGCTCCCTTGGTTTCGGCTCAAGAGGGACCGACTTGGCCTGCTTGCTGGTGTCCCATTGGGACGCAAGCAAAGCCGGCTTCTACCTCCGCTCGCTATGGTAAATTGCTCGACTGCAAAGACAAAGTCTGGAGAAAACTCTGCAATTGACAAAAAAGAGATGAAAAACAAGGTACGGGCCCTATAAAGTGGGCCTTACCTTCCTTTGCTCATCTGTTCTCTAAAATGCAAGAGTAGGCTTCAGCTTCTACCACACCTCGCAAGTGGGGCTGCATCCATCTGCGGCCACCAAGTTGCCGTCATCACAAGCTTCGCCAGCATCGCGCTGACCGTTGCCTTGAATATTTCAGAAGATATATTTTTCAAAAAACGGCAGGAGGCATCAACATGTGGCATCTTGTTCCAAACGACTTAGTCCTTTCTTTTCTTTAGCTATCCTTTCAGGCGTTGCCTTGGGCCTCTACCACAGGTTGACTCGCATGCTGTGGAGCCACTGCAACTGGAACCTGAGAGAAAGCTGTGCGCAGCGAAGAAACCCTGTCAAAAGTCCCAAAAAGCGCAAGTGTTCTTTTTTGCCCGCCCTTACTTAATTAAGTAGGCGCCTACTTAATTAAGCAAGGGGAGAAGTTGGCTCCTATACTCAAGCTTCTAGCAACTGGACGCAGGATAGCTAACGCTTCTTGAAGGAAGCTCCCCGGACTGAGGGCGGGGGGAGCTTCCCCGCACTAATGATTTGGTTCCTAGATTCTTAGGAAAACTTAACTCTCAACCAAAATGAAACTGCAGCGACGATGAAGCGACATCAGCTTCCTTTGTTCCGAAATCGGACCATGCTAGAATGTTCAAACCCTCCGGCCTGCTGCACCAGCGGTTTCACAACAAGTCCAACCTGCCTTGCAGTCGAAAAACAATCTGACATGTGTATTTAAAAATCATGAGATGCGTGTTCTTTTTCACCAAAGCTTTGATACCCGTCTTGGATTGCCGTACTTTATCTAGCTTCTGACGCACAAGTGGATCGCGCATGTGTTCAAGTCGGTCACTGATGAAGGAAAAGGAAAGCACACGTTCTCTGAAATGTAATCAGTCAGTCCTCAACTGTGCAATTTTCATCACAGCCATCACCTGCGAAAGCTAAATTAACTCTCTGTGAACTCCGTGCACTCTAAGTGGCATTTGTGATTGAGGTGTTGCATGATTGCATCCATTTAAAATGAAATGATGCCAAACTAGCAGCCCAAACCTCCAGCCAGGTTGCCATCGTCGCAGGCCTGCAGAGCAAGCTTACCGAAAGGCTTCGGAATCACGTCTTCTTATAATACATATATATATATATGTATAATCACGATTTTGCCAAAAAGGGCGAGGAGATTTCAGCTAGAAGTAGAGTGGCGAGAGATGCCACCAAAGAAACACCACAATTCTCAGCTCAATATGGACACACTCTCTCAAGCCCGTGCAGCAAGGAAAAAATTTTGTTCATGGCAAAATGTCCTTCTGGAGATCCATAGCTTACGATGAGGTGTCATGAAGCGTCACGCTCTGATTGGAACATACCACTTAGATCGGCTTGGACTGATTGGAAGCTTTAGAGCATTTTGAGAAGTGTAGAACTTTGATGAGCTTTGACAGATTGGAATTCATTACAAAGCAAGGTGAGCACTATGGCGTCACTGTGAGACTGAAATTATTGCCACGATGTCGTGGTGAAAAACATCAGAACAAGCTGTTCACCTCTTCTCAGAAGTCCAAGATGGCAATGTCCACACGACTATGACTGGCTGCTCCGGTGTTCTTTCTCACTGGTTCACAATATGCAGCCGCTGCTCTGCTGAAGAGCTTCTCGTTGCAGGCGACATCCTTCTGGGCTGCCACCAGGCACTCTATCACCTCAGCAGCGGAAAGTGCAGAAAGAGAAAGAAGAAAAGAAAACGATTCGTGAACATGAACCTCTTCCTTTGGGGTGGTAGGCCGTGAAGAGTTGAAGGTAGCGTAGTTAGTTGCAAGTAAGTAGTAGAGAAGGCTACTGGTATCCGCCGACCCCGGCCTAAAGCCAAAGCCTAGGCGGGGAGGCGCCTGGGACACCGCAGGGTGAAGCAGTTGGCCACGTCGGCAGCCCTCAAAGCCTTCTCGGCAGCTGGCAGGCCTGCCTCTTCTCTTCTTCTGCCCTTCCTAAAGCGATGTTAGGCATTTTGGACCCCCATCAAACCCTCCCCAGCGCCTTCAAACCCTCCCCAGCGCCTTTGGCCTACTCCTGCACCGCAGCCTTGCCTGCGTCAGGCGGGAGCCTCTGGAACGTGCAGCCCGTGCGCTGCAGCCTTAGAACTGAGCCTCTGGAACCTGCCACCTCGGCAGCCCTCAAACCCTTCTCGGCAGCTGGCAGGCCTGCCTCTTCTCTTCTTATGGGCTTGCGAAAGCGACGTTAGGCATTTTAGACCACCCTCAAACTCTTCTCGGCAGCTGGTCTTCTCGGCCTGCCTCTTCTCTTCTTATGGGCTTCCGAAAGCGACGTTAGGCATTTTGGCCCGGCTTCAAACCCTTCCCAGCGCCTTTGGCCTACTCCTGCGTCGCAGCCTTGCCTGCGTCAGGCGGGAGCCTGGGGAGGGAGCCTCTGCCACCGTGCACTGCAGCTGACCTCTGGAACCTGCCACCTCGGCCTGCACCTCTTTTCTTTAGGGTCCTCCAGGCACCTTCAAACCCTTCCCGGCACCTTTGGCCTAGTCCTGCAACACAGCCTTGCGCGGCTCCCGTTTGCCCGGTGGTTACGTGGCTTCCGGCTGATTGGTCTATACTCTATTTCTTTCTTTCGCGCTTGCGCTCTTGCACTTGCCACGTGTTTTTCGGGCATGGTTTTCCCGCTGGCGTGTTGTGTTGGCACCGAACGCGCCCAAACAACTGTGATGACCAGACCACAGTCTGGCACGCTGGGCATGTGTGCGGATGCTGCTGCTAACCGTGCCTTCATTCACATAGAATTGGTTGCCGCACACGGTTCGGTGATTTATTCGCCCTGTCCTCACATTACTCGCCACAGTTCCATTGCAAAATGGACACGCATAGACTAAGTTCTTGGCGGCAATGCGTCCGTCTTTGACACGAAAAAACTTCCCGCACACACGGCGGTGATTTACTTGGCCTGTGCGCACAGTGCTGGTCACAGACACCTCACAAAAAGGACACGCATATTGGAACATTTCCTCGGCGGCCGTGTGTCCAGCCAACTTGCCGGCGGTGCGAGCGTCGTCTGCGCGGCTGTCGGGGTGGCTTGCGTCTCTTGTTTCGGCTTTGCCTGCGAGTTTCGTCGCGGCGGCGGCGCTGTCCTGGCTTGGCTGCTCACCGACACGTGTTTTGCACGCTTCGCTGCAGGCTCTGCCTGCGCTACTTGCGTTGTCTGTGCGCGGGGCTGGGTCTTGGTGGGCGTCGGCTGCGCTTGCTTGTCTTGTTGTGGTTCCATGTGTCTTTTGCGCGACGGCTTGGTGTCTGTTGAGACACTTTCTGCTTCAATTTCCGTCTTGCTTTGGGCCATCTGCCTTTCTTTTCTCCCCTTCGGCGCCTGCGCCCGGGGAAAGAGCACCTCATCCTCGGCTTGCTTCTGTCGCACGCGGTCAGCGATCTCTTCCCGCACAAGACCTATGACTTGCTGTCTCTTTTCTTCGGCTACTTTCGTCCGCGTCGCAGCCAGGCGCCGTATGGCTCTCTGCGCGACACTTCGCGGCAACCGCTGCCCGTGGCAGCTGTAGACCCGTGCATCCGCCCGGGCAGGCCGTCCCCTGCACCGCGCACGGCTGTTCTTTGCGCGCTGCGCTGCTGCGCGCTTGGCCGCGCTGGGGACACAAGCGTTGCGTTCCGTCTTGCGGTGCAGCGCGCTGCCTGGACCAGGCGCTGAAGTCATTGCGCGCCTTACGTTCCGTGCACACGGCGCAGCGCCACGCACCCTTCACTTTCATGGCGCAGTCCCTGCAGACACGTCGGTCTGCATGGCGCCCTTTCCATGCGGCCGCCCCGAATGCACTTTCCGGCTTGGCCGTACCGCACTTGTAGCACCGCTTCTGTGCCTCGCACGTCTGGCACACGCGGTAGAACGTGCATTGGGGACGCGCGTACATTCTTGCAAAGGCGTCTTCGTGCTTCCATGCCTTGCAACTGTTGCATTGCCAGGGCGTGTTGTTGGCTGCGTAGTTGCGCACGCATTCTCTGCACACACGTGCGTCCGCGTCCCGTTTCCATTGCCCGGCGCTGTACTTAAATAATCTGTTTTTTCTAACATGTTATCGATGTTAAATGATTTAATAACAAGTTATAAATGTATGTGAACTAGTTATAACAAGTTATAAGTAGTGTTTAAGTAGGGTTTAAACAATTATAACTTGTTAAACTAAGTAGATGTTTTAGTAAAAATTGTCAACTTTTAGCTAACCATGTTAAGTAAAAATCAAATAACATATAAGTATTGAAAAATCATCTTCCACATTGTAAGTTTTTTGTTTTTGAAAATTAAAAAAGTTCTATTCTAATGTGAACTTTTCAATAAACCACCATAAGAATAATCAGCCAGCGTGGCATTCAATTTTGTAAAAACATCAAGTGCAGTTACTTTGCCCAAGGGTGAACATGAAGGTTGACATCCAAACAACCATAACCATTAGCTGCAATGATTGCAAAGCAATCCCAGTGCCTGCCAATTTGATTCAAGAGCATGGTGGCCGCCAATGGTTGAAGCTGAGACCTACATGCCAGCAACTCAACCAAATCCTTTATGGCAAGGTTGGCAAGAATGCTTCTTTTTCCAACCACACAGGCTTCCAAGACTTCATTACCAAGAGGAACCAACTGTGGGCCAGAGGAGCTGGTGAAGACCAGCCACAAGAGACTGTCTATGAAGAAAGTGACCAGAGCACCCAGAGGACAAAGGCCAAGAAAAGAAGACTTGATGACCCAGAGGTTCTCCAAGTACCTCTGGGTGAAGCTACCATTGAGTGCTTGATGCAGGGGCAGAGGCCAACCAAATCAGATGTGGTGATGCCATTGGAAGAGAGCCAGCTGGTGCCAATGTTTGAGCTCTTGCAAGAGCACCAAGATACTTTGAAGACAAGGAAGCCTTACCAGAAGAAGGCATCAGTTCCCAAAGACTAGCTGCCATAGAGGTAGCAAATCACCAGAGGCAATGGCTAAAAAAAATGAATTGCAGTTACTGTCAGATGCTGTGTGCCAATTTGTGGCATTCCACCATTGCTTGGCAGCCTGATGGCATTGCATCATTATGAAACCAACTTTGAAGCATTTGAATTTGGCTTCTTGCAACCCAGAATCACAAACAATAGCACCAGGTATCCATCACCATGCATTGGCTCCAGCAAAGTTGCATTGGCTCAACACGCTTGCTCACCGCCATGAGTGTGGTTGACCCAGGCTGTGTGAAAGCCATAAACAATCTATTGGCATCCAAATTGCCAGTGAACCAAATGGTGGACCAGGTTGTCCACACTCTCAAGAAGCAAGGTTTGGCCTACCACTCTGTGGTCACACCAAGCCAAGTTTTGTGCCACCCCCACCAAATGCCTTCATGGTTGGACATGTGGGACAAAGGCCAGAAGATGATGGCCATTGGTATGAAAAGGCAATTCCTTCCTTGGAGAATCCATGGCCATAGAGATCTCACCAGACCCTGCCAAGAGGTCTGAGCAGCTGATGGCCAATGAGAACCTCATCAAGGAGGCCAATGGTGCCATGGCACCCATGACAGGTTCTGAGCGTTCTTTGGTTGCCATGACAGCTGTAAGGTTTATGCTTTTTTGTCAGCCTTCAGGATCACAAAGAATTAGCTGGCGTTCCATGCTTCCATTGCTTCCATTTGTTCATGTTCATGCTGAGGTTTCCTGAGGGCCATCAACCATGGTTGCCTGCCAGATGAGCAGCCTCCCATGGAAGTGCGCAAAGATGATCCATGCTGGGACCTCATCCAGAATGGGTGGTCATGGCTCATTTTGAGCCATTTGGTGGAAGGCCAATGGCCCATGCTACCCACCCTGCTGCAAGGGGCCATGAACTCTGCCAACTCCATCTCCAAGGCACCAAATGAATTAGAGCTTGCTGCCCAGCTTGGCCACCTGTTCAGCCTCAATGTACCACTTCATGAAGCCAAGGAGAAAGTCCAAGCTGCCAATACTTGCCAGCCTGAAGTTTTGACCTACCTCAGTCATTTTGTGAAAACATTTTCAGGTGGGCCAAAATTTCCCGTGTTGGATTTCCTACAAAAGTTCAGTGGCCTGGATGCAACCAAAGGCTTCACAAATACCATTTGTTTGCTCTATACCACCAACCATGAATGTTGGTGATGCTTTTTGAACCCAAAGTGATAACCAACGGTATTGGAGAAGAAGACGTGCAAGTTTCACTTACATTGTCCGCTTTTTTATAACAGGTTATGTTAGTTATGAGAGTTAGCTAACATGGTCATAACATAGTTGCAACATAGCTGTAATATGGTGTTACATATATGATATTAACTTTTAGTAAAAGTTAATTAACTAAGATAGCAAGGCTAACACTAACACTGCTAACTCTGCTAACAGTTAGCATTGTTAGCATTGCTGCCATGATGTTACTAACTCACAAAAATAGGATGAAAACATGTTTTGATAAATGAAAACTGACCACAAAAATTTTGCAGCGCACACTTGTTCATGCATATACAAAAGAATTAGATATCAACTTGTATGCAAACTGTAAACAACATATGTTGTCAAAATTAACACAACATGTTGAACAGTATTGCTAATAAACACATGGTCACAGGTGCTTCTTGTATATTGCCATGTTTTGGCCATTGCAACGTTAACCATATTGGAGCAATTTCTTGAATGGTTTGTGGCAACATGGCAAGCTGTGTG